AGAATGCACCAAAACACAACTAGCACTCGTGACTGTTAATTGCTAGTTTTACTGATAGTGGTGCTTTGTCTTGGAACGAGAAAAATGAATTACAGCCAAGCATAAAGGGTATTAAGAATTAAAGAGAGTTCTTAGATATAATCAATCAATACAATTACAACTTTGTTCGATGTACTCCTTCTTCTGGTCTGTAGGATCAGGAGGCTGCCGTAAAAATTGTTCTGCTCCTTTTTCTCATTGTGTAAAACACGAGGGAAACAAAGAGAAATGTGAATGCATCCAGGAGTGTCCTAAAGTAATGAAACAAGTCTGCGGTACGGATAATGTGACGTATAACAACGAGTGTTTGTTGAAGAAAACAGCTTGCGAAAGGAACAGAGAAATAACGATTGTGAAAAATGGGACCTGTGAAGGTATTTTTCTCTTAAAAATGTTTGCAAGTAGAGTGTTTGTTGCAATATGTTTGAAAAACCAGATTGACGATACAGGAAACGCAATGGTAATTAGAAGTGCTTTGCCTCTGAATTCACTTTATTTTCGTGAAACGCCTAAAATATATCCGCCCGTGAAATACGATGAAATGAAGATCTCAAAAGGCTTTGAGGCGGAAATCAAAGATCTTGGAAAATGTTATCTTTGCTTGTATTGTAATTATTCAGAGTCAGTCATCGATTTATTACTTAATCCAAATAAAATCAATAGAGAGGAGCCTGTAGCTCGCATAAGCCTCTTGGTCTTTCTACGGGTTTTCTCGCCCCATGCTAAATTTTCAGCTTAATTATAGTAATGCATATGTAATTACTTTTATTCCTACTGAGGGGTTATGTCTATGGATGCTTACAAACAAATGCTCAACATGAATATTAATGGAGATCTTCGCAATAATGACCAGCTCCCAGTTGGCTTAACCGCAGTTCATTTTTTCACAGTCATTAAACAGGGGCGTAGCCAGGATTTTTCAAAGGGGGGGGGGTCACAGAGGCTACTCACCATTTACACCGCTGCTCTCCCGGGTGTATCAGCGGGTTCAGTCGTATTATCGAGGCATGAAGGCCCATATTAACTAAGTACAAGAGCCGTTGACGAAAATACTTTACAAAAAAAAAAAAAACAATTTAAAATGATGGGCTTTTCAACGAGGGCTTTTACGGCCAAGATATTGTCATGGTGTTTTCGCCACCTGAATATTGTAGGTTGTTTGCTCTAAAGAAAGCCTACCAAGGGGGGCTCACAGACACCCCAGGACGCCCCTGGCTACGCCCTTGTTAAATGCACAACAGTCGCTCAATAAAACAAAGCTATTTGGGTTTAACATCCAATTGTCTCATTGTTATCGAGGATCAAAATTCACAGATGAGAATGCACCAAAACACAACTAGCACTCGTGACTGTTAATTGCTAGTTTTACTGATAGTGGTGCTTTGTCTTGGAACGAGAAAAATGAATTACAGCCAAGCATAAAGGGTATTAAGAATTAAAGAGAGTTCTTAGATATAATCAATCAATACAATTACAACTTTGTTCGATGTACTCCTTCTTCTGGTTTGTAGGATCAGGAGGCTGCCGTAAAAATTGTTCTGCTCCTTTTTCTCGTTGTGTAAAACACGAGGGAAACAAAGAGAAATGCGACTGCATTCAGGAGTGTCCTAAAGTAATGAAACAAGTCTGAGGTACGGATAATGTGACGTATAACAACGAGTGCTTGTTGAAGAAAACAGCTTGCGAAAAGAACACAGAAATAAAGATTGAGAAAAACGGAATTTGTGCAGGTATTTTCATTCGATAAGTCTGCTAGTAAAGTGTTTGAAGGCTATGAAACAGAGCGCAAAGGATACTGGTCAAACATAGTTCTGATGCTCCAACATTGAAAAAACTGGAATTGGCATTATTAACTATGATATAATTTGCAGCATCGAGTGCATTAATATAGAAAAACTAATTAAAGGAACAGAAATTCAACAATGGGTTTTCCACGAGATGGTTCTTCTTATCCACTGACTATTTCAAGGTAATATTAGGTTTTGAAATGTTGGTTTTATCAGAGGGAGGAAAACCGGGGGACGGGAGAAAAACCCTCCAAGCAAGGACTAGAAGCGTTAACAAACTCAGTCCATACGTGACGCCAGATCCGGGAATCGAACCCCTGACCGCAATGGTGCGGGGCAAGCGCTCTCACCACTGCACCTGCCCAGCTTTCAACACATCCTATTGCACTAACATGGGTGTACAACACGTGTTTTGTGAAACAATTTACTGTCAATTATTTCTAATGGCTGCTCGTGATTTGAAGCTCTTGTCCATTCGAAATATCACAGCCTTTCCCACTAAATGTCTTTATCAAATAGGTTACTGTGGATCAGGTGCACCGACAAAACCATCCTGTTGGGCGGTGGAATTGAAAAATCCGTGAAGATATTTTTGGGATTTAAAGTTAAAATTTTCACAGAGCATTGAATCCATTCTGTTTTATTTTTTAGAAACAAGAGGCTGCAACATAAAGTGTCCTGCTCCATTTTCTCGCTGTGTGAAGGAAGACGGAAACCGGGAGAAATGCGAATGCATTCGTGATTGTCCTAAGATAATAAAACATGTTTGCGGTTCAGATAACGTGACGTATGGTAACGAGTGTTTGTTGAAGAAAACAGCTTGCGAAGAGGAAAGAGAACTATCTGTGGTGAAAAAGGCGTCTTGCGCAGGTATGTTTTTTTTTCAAAGTAGCTTTGTGCTTTGTCTGAATCAATAGACGCCGTTCTTGAACAAATGTGAACGGTAACTAATTTTCTTGCAATTTATGAAAACACGAGTAGCCTTCCTCTCACGTCAGATCGAAAAAAATTACATATTGTAAGTATTCTCAGTTGATTCGACAGGCAACTTGAAGATTCAACTGCTCACAAATCACGAGAACAGCTCATAATTTACTCGTTCCCTCTGAATACATGTCTCTAAGAGACAATCAATGTAGAGAACACACATCATTTGATTTCTCTATTTTTTTTTTGCTTCTTTCGCCAAGGCGCCTCTACAGTTTGTGACAGCGGACCCTGCCCACCGTATGCAACATGTGTTGAGTCAGACACTGAAAACAGATGCGCGTGTCCTGAGTGTTCCCATAGCGACACCAGAGAAGTTTGTGGATCGGATTATAGAAGCTACAAAAATTTGTGCGAACTCAAGAAGCATGCCTGCAAGAAAAACAAGCGCATCTCAATTGTCTCACGCGGTGAATGTGAGGGTAGGTAGTTTAATTAGGTGTCGTCATCCCAACGGCCAAAGAGAAGGAAGGGAAATACCTTTAAGAGTCAATCAGAACTCAAAATAAGACCAACCAAACTGTCAAAAGTGCGAGAAAAAGGCAAACGACCGAGTCGTGATGGTTCAGTTTTGCATCTGATTGGTTGAAAGAGTACAGTGGTACGAGTTTTCTGGACGATCACAGAGACAAATAAGGGAAAACCAAAGCAATTTCTTCAATTTTTCTAACACGTAACTTTCTAACTTGTCTAAACTTAAAAGTTTCTGAACAAATTGTATTCCAAAACGTTTTCAGTAGCCATTTTCCAGTCGATTTGAACAACTACTATTTCGCTGGAAAATATTCCCACAATTTTGAACTATCCAAACTGAACTATTTTGGGAAAGGGATAAATTTCTTCATCTCACCTTCCTTTTTTTTTTATTTTTTTCAGTACTATTCTATAAAGTTAATTCTCAGGAAAAGGCCGCTGAAGAAAAGAAGTTGTCTGGGACGATGAAGAAGATGTACATCTGTGGTATAGCTGTTGTGATCCTAGGAGTAGTGATCGCCTTTGCCATGTGCATGAGTCAACCACAGAACAGGTGAAGATCAACATCGATATTTCTGTGGGAAGGCTTGAAAATTTGGCTATCTGAAATTAATCAAAGAGGTCCCCAACCCGGTGTTTGCGCATTGCTTTCAAAGACCTATGCTTCTGAAACTTTATGAGTAGTACTCTTATCCTCACCGTTAAAAAAGCATGCATGAAAGCTCCTTTTTATCGCATGCTGAGATTCCCAAAAGCAGCCTAGCCGTGAAGAATTGTCGTCAAATATGTCAAAAATTTTATTACAGACGTCGCCATTTTTAGAGCAAGTCAATAACCTGCTGCACGTACATGTCTGGCAATGGTAGTACCCTTCCCCTCTCCCTCACCCCCCCCCCCAAGGAAATTACTATTCGAGCACAAAATGGTTTTACATGTAATAAATTGTTTCTAATTTGATTAGTCCCTCTATCGCCTGTTACAGCTAAGTTGAAAAATGGACAATCTTTCGTGTACGTATTTGTTTTGCTATACCCTCTGTACTGACCTGATGTATTCCTTTGTTGAACATTTTTTAGGAGCGTACAAGTTAACAAAAACAGGGACAAGAGCTCATTCAAAACTATTCATGATAAATACCAGATCGAGAATCTTACCACCAAAGAAAACTTGTAAACAAAAGAAAACTACTTCTCACTGAAAACTATTTCTTACTTAATGTGAAACTTACGGAAAACTTTTATCAGTATTTGTACTGTTCACGGGACGTTTATATTAGTTATTGAACTAATTATTGTTCTACTAAAAGAAATACTTTTACTACTTATTAAACTACGAAAGAAACACTTTTATCAGCTATTGTACTTCTAAAGGAACACTTTCGCCAGTTATTGCACTACTTACGAAATACCTTTAATCAGTTATTGTACGGTTCACGAAATACTTTATTGCTCATTGAACTTCTTACACAACACTTTGGTCAGCTACTGAACCATTAACGGAGAACTTTTCATGATCGGTAATTTTCCTAATCAACTTGTTATTGCAATACATGTCGATAAAATCTGATGAAAATCGAAACTGCTCAAATAAAACCAGCCTTAAGTATGCTTTCGTTTGTTGTGACCTACAATGACGTCAATCGCGACCATAACTCTTCCAGACAGCTTCGAAAACTTAATGCCCAAAAACTTCAAACTGTCTCTTCGTTGCATGCTAGTAGTGTTAATTTATAAAAACAAAAACATTATTCAAAAGGCACTGTAATAGATATAGTACTAAACGCACATACGAGGTTGATGCTGTAAAAAGATGAAATCGCTGAAATCACTACACAATTAACTAAACTAGCAAAAAAAAGATATCTTGTGGAAAGCACACATCGAAAAAGTCTCGCGCTAGCGTGCTACAGCGATAGCTTTTTGCTGTGCCGAATATTAAGATTGTGGGACCAGGAAACGTCAATAAATGGTTATTATTGTTGCTGTTATGGCCCTTTGAGAAAAAAAGGATGTAACCATTCAGCTTTTTGAAACTACGACACTGATTCGAAAACAACTTCTACCTTAAGAACAGGTCGTTATTGATTGCGAGGGGGGGGGGTGAGAGGAATTTTTGTTGTGACAACGGAGTATCAACGTGATTCTTCCCCCCCCCAAATGGAATATTTCACGATCCCCCCACCTCTTCTCTCCCAGCCACCACAAAAAGCCATGACTATCTGCTTCCTTACCCACATACCGATAGATGTAAGTTTTACCATAGTGATGTTAAGCAGATTTCTGAATCTGCTTTTTGTCGTAAACAAGGCGGATTCAAAAGGTATGTTCTAGAACAACAGCAAATACCTAGGCGGTTAAACACAAAAATAAAAGATCTGTTAGGGTAGGTCAGAGAAACGAGTAGTAGTGAGTACATCACAAAATTTATTGCTGGCGTGGACGGTTGCAGGCGCAGGGTCGACTAGCGATGACCATGTGCCCCGTTTAAACGAAAAAAAAACACTGAATAGTCAAGCTCGGGCGAGGAGTCTGCTGATGAATTGGACGAAGAGACTATTCAAGAGTTAGCAGAGGGGAAAATCTAAGAGTCATTGCACGATGCTGTTCAAGAGTCGGTCTGAGAAGTAGGCTCCCAAGAGGTTGCCATTGAATAAGCGTTGGGGAACGAAGCAGTCACACTAAATTTAACACCTGTTGATACATGTATATATATATTTTTACTTATATTTTTGTTTTTGTAATGACGGTGTACCACCGTGTTTTTCGAACGTTCTCGCGGAAATGTCGCTCATTGACTCCAGAGAATTTGAAACATCCCGGCACTTTGTGGACATTCAACCTTAAGAACTAAAATATATTTCGTGCATTACGTTTAATACATAAGCACAACTATTGATCTTCTTATTATGTGAGATCGTGTCTAAACCAGAAACGAAGGAAAAAAAGTCATCATCAAAAAAGCAGTAAAGTGATCCCACCGCTTCAAACATTTGTCTCCTTTGTTTATGGTCCCCCCCCCCCCACAGTGCCTGCCAATTAGGGTTAACCCCCCTCTTCTCTCATGAAACCATGTGACCCCTCCAATTCTCTGCCGCTCCCCACCTCCCTATGGCGACAATTGATGCGGACCTTTCGTGCTTATAAAGTCCAGTCCAAGTTTTTTTTCTTTCTTCTACTCCAGGCGTGATGTCAAGTCTTCCCATGATTCCATCTGATTAATCAAAAGTCCTAGATGGCAATGGCCCAGGGCTATCGCGAAACTCAAGTTCTTGACGAATTATTTCAAAAGGAGTTGATCGAAAAGTTAGACGAGCTAAGGAAATCGAATCTTCTGTGTGACATAACTCTCCGAGCTGATGGACAAGACTTTGCAGCCCATCGCAGTGTCTTGTCTGCCGGCAGTCAGTACTTCCGGGCTTTGTTTACAACGCAGTTAAACGTTCAAGAAAATGAAGATCATTTAGTAGAGCTCCAAGAAATAACCTCTCACGCCTTGACTGAGGTCCTCCAGTATGTCTACACTGGAAAAGCAAAACTCAACTCATCTAACGCAAAAGAAGTCGTCGTCGCCTCTGATTACTTGATGATTGAGGGTTTAAAATCAAGGGCTTCTCTTTTCTTGGAAGAATCTCTCAGTGTTGCAAATTGTTTGGCGCTAGAATCCTTCGCTTCCCAATACAATTGTGAGTCGTTAAAACACGCTGCCACTTTTTTAGCCGTAAAAATTTCGTGGCCGTAGCAAAGTCGAGTGATTTTCTGTCGCTTAATGAGGAAAAATTGTTTGAGTTGCTCAGCGACGATAAATTAAACATACCACGAGAGGAGGAAGTGTACAATGCAGCAGTAAGATGGATTAAATACGATTTGGCCTCTAGGAAGGGTTCTCTCCCTGACCTGTTGAAATGTCTTCCACTGTTCTCACTGTCAAAGTTTACTCTGCGTCAAATTCTTGACGAAGAAGAGTTGGTGAAAAAAGACGTCACGTGTGTAACGTTGCTCTTGAATGGACTGGACTACTTTTTGTTCCCGGATCGCTTCCAGAACATTTTATTCAAACCTCGTTTGTCTTTGAGGGATTATGAGGATGTGGTAATACTAACTGGAGGATGGAAAACAAATGGCACGATGTCTGACAGCACGTACTTGCTGTTTTTTGCTCTCAACTAAGAAATGGATCAATTCATATCAAGAATGCCACAATCTTGTGGCCACCATGGTGTAGCAATGTGTCGGGATATCTTGTATGTGATTTATGGAGAAAGTAGATTCAGTATTGGAGAAAGTAGATTCAGTATTGGTCAAATCCATGTATGTTCATTTGATCCAAAAAAAAATAAATGGAACCCTCATGATGTTGGTAAAGGTGTGTGGAAAAACTTTTCTGTGACAACTTATAATGAAGAACTGTATGTCATAGGGGGTGACAGTGGCTTTTATCAACAGGTTAAAGTCTACAATCCAGCTCTTGGCACATGGAAAGGGAGGGCACCAATGAATGTTGGGCGTGCTGGACATTGTGCAGTAGTGCTCCAGAAGAATATCTATGTGATGGCTGGTCATGATGGTAAAGTTTGCCATAAGAGTGTAGAACGTTACAACCCAGCAACAAACCAGTGGCAGAAAGTTCCAAGTCTATCCAATGCCCGCAGGTCTGCTGCAGGAGCTGTATCAAATGGGAAGATCATTGTTGTTGGTGGATTTAGTGCTATGGAACCCTCAAAAGCCGTAGAAGCCTCCTGTGAAGTGTTTGACCCCTGCACTAATGAATGGAGCTTGGTCACAAGTCCTGTTATTCCACGTGCTGCCTGTGGCACTGTGAGTATAGATGACATTATTTACTTGTTTGGAGGTCAGCATGAAGAACATTTCATGAACACTGTGGAGTCTTTTGATTTGAAACACAATGAGTGGCGTGATGTAGCTACTATGCCAATTGATTATCAGGGTTCATTCCATCAAGCTTCATTAGTAAGACTGCCAAAAGATTTTGTCTCCTAAAGAATTTTTAGGTGCTATTGTCCAAGTATGATGTCAAGATGCCTGAATATGGCCAAGTTCTTTCCTCATTTTCAAATAGGTCAATTAAGATAACAAAGCCCAGTCAAAAGAAGAACTCAACCACTTTTTTCACCATAGACTACTGTTTGAAGTCTGAATCCAGTACCAATATAGTTTTACACTGAAAAATACCAACAAGGCATAATCTTTAAATTCTTAAAGATCTGAACAGTAATCCTCCCTTCTTACATCCAAGACTTCACACTAAACTAGTTAATATGAGATTGTAGTTTTTATTCTGGTAAGATACTTGAGCTGATATGTGCATCTGCTAATGAATTATGCTGCTGATAATTCTCGGAAATTGTATAGAAAAGTTAGACTTTGATCAAAGCCGAAGCTTATAGAACTAGACAGAAACTAATAATTGGTATTTTTGTCAAAATAAATTGTGTTTATTTTCAAAATAAGTTCACTTGGGTACTAGTTGATGCACAGTTCCATTTAAGAGTATTTCAATACAAATTCCTCTGCTGAAGGGAACCCTGTCATGGTAACCTCCTATAGGTTAAAGATGCTGTGTATTGATAACCATAGCTACAGTATTATTTGATATTATTAAAAACTGGATCATTGTATAATGCAATTCAAGACTTTTTATTGGCTTAGCCATTATGGTATATGAGCCAATATACCATAATCTAATATCTGTATATTGTAACATCCGGTCTCTTCTCACAAAATAAAGTTGAGAAGATTTGTCTAATATCTTGGGGGCGTTTTTTTAAATAAAACAATTATTCCACTCCCGTTTGTTGGATATGAGATAATTAGAGCCAACGAGGCACGTAGCACCTCGTTGGCTATCTATCATCTCATATCCAATGCGCGCTCGTGGAATAATTGTTAATTATCACAGAGTCCAATAGCATAAAGTCTGTGTAAAGGAAGGACTATTCTGGTACATACCAAGTTAAACACTGCATAAGCTTAGATATCATGTATGTCTGTACAGATTATTACCCAATTGTCAAATAGAAACTAGTAGTTCCTTATTTTGTTTCAGATAAGCAAAAATAAAGTAATCAAAATGTTTGTTTTTATTCATAATAAGAAATACTCCAGTGTTGAAGAATTGTTGTTGTTTGTCTCTTGATACGGTCACGTCTGATGTGGATTGCAACATTTTGGCCAGAAACAACATCAGAAATTGGAGAAGCCAGCAGCCCCTTTTCCCAGCTCCTCCTCCACAGCCAGGTTTTCCTAGATAAAGTTTTTGGGTTCTTTTCCCAGGTAAAGAATCTGTTCAAAACTAGATAAAAAGGAGGTGACACTGAATAATTTCCCAAGTCTGTTTTTGCTACCAGTACCTATGCAATACTTTCTGTACCACAATGTGGGGGGCCTGTGCTCTTTAATGTGGGGGGCCTGTGCTCTTTAATTTTCTTTTCTTTTTATTTTGGAGAAGGGGGAAGGGGGTTACAATTCTCCAACATACACTGCTGTTCAAAGTAATTTGAATACTCACATTCTGCTAGACTTAGATGAATTTAATACCCTAAATACAGTTAGTGTTATCAAAGCAACACCCTAGGGATGGCTCACTTCTGTATTAGTTTCTGAGAACTTAATGTTTGTAAAATCAGTAATGCATATTTTCCAAGTTTGACTGGGAAAAGTCTAATTGCAACTTGCCCCTTCCCACCCCACGTCTTTTTTCCTGTGGAACTCCAATCCAGTCTGTAGGTATTTGAATAAAGTTGAAATGGTAAATTGGCCACCGTAACAATTACAAAAGCTGACGTTTTGGGCGTTAGCCCTTCGTCGGAGCGAAAAGAGTTATTGTGGGTTGTGTGTGCTTTTAAAGGCAGAAAATGGAGCTACGTTATTGGTGGGAACATGGCAACGAGAAAAACACAAGTAAATTAGTGGAATGAAAAGCGTTCGTTGATCCCTGTGGGATTTAGACTGCCGGTTTAGACTGCTCATCTTCATCTGCCGGTTAGACTGCTCATCTTTCAAACCGGCAGTCTAAATCCCACAGGGATCAATGAACGCTTTTCATTCCACTAATTTACCCGGGTCTTTCTCGTTGCCATGTTCCCACCAATAACGTAGCTCCATTTTCTGCCTTTAAAAGCATATGCAACCCACAATTCTTCTATTCGCTCCGACGAAGGGCTAACTCTCGAAACGTCAGCTTTTGTAATCATTATGGTGGCCAATTTACCATTTCAACTTTGTTGATATATCCAAATTATTTCGTTACCCCCACTGACGCAGCCCCAACAGTTTCTTTAGAAACTAACAGCCTTTATTCATTTGTGGGTATTTGACCCCACCTCATCAAGAACTTTGTTTGCTTCTTCTTCCTGGTTACACCTCATTTTGGCACCATGGGGGCCAAATGCCACTATCCTAAACCCTTGTTGCTCTGCTTTCATTCTCAGTTCGACCGGAGTGATGTGCCCATCTCTTGTTAATAACAGAGGATTCAAACAGAGTATGATACTGGGAAGTAGAATCAATTTAAAATGCTGCATGCATATGTCTTCAACATCATTACTTTATCTAAATCATCTATTTTGTCAATCTTTTTTGTTTGCTTATTAAGCTGTTCCCCAAATTTGGTAACCCCTGGTAGTTAAACTGCATTTCTCTTCACCTAAAATAGGTGTCTGTGAGAATACTTCATTCTCTCATTTCCTTGTGATATGGTTTCTTAAGGTGGAGCCACTAGTTTTGAAGTTAATGTACAGTACAAAAGTAATTGACTTAAATCTACTGAAGATCTATCATAGACGCGGCAATCTGATAAGCTAATCTACTTGCTCTCTTTTCAGTGAAAGATATTGAGATAAGAAAGACACTTAACAGCATACAGGAGCAGTACATAGGGTTGTAGCCTACATGCTTCAGTGTGCAGTTGTAAACAAAATTAAGTTTTATATGACTAGTAGATCTACACCAAAACAATTACATTAATTGCTCAAAATTAATTTCTATGCATTATAGTTGATTTAAACTTTGCCCTTATCAGCCATCAAGGAATGGAAATCTCTGATCAAGCTAACAAACTAATTGTTCATGAATAATTTCTTCTGTTTATTAAATAAGCTGTAGACTGGCTGGCAGCTAATCAGCAGACTAAAAGCTACATAAATTTGGATTTGATATAAATCTATCATTCTCGCCTCTACAAAGATTGTACAAATTAAAGTAAATTTAAAAGTTGTCATAGTATAAGTTTCTGAGGATCAAGACAGGCCTGTTTACAAGCTGAATTGACTAGGCTCCACGAGGCATGCAAGCTGTGTGTCTTCTACCATGGAGGGTGCATCTGAGAACACAAACAAACAAAATAATGGATCAAAAGCCGGAAGAACATACCATAGAACTATTAAGAACCAAAAAAATAGCCTGTCTGGCAGTCTCTTTCATTTCCTTCTGGTCAGTTTGGAAAAGTACAAATCTCAGAAAGGCATGAGCCAAGAGAAGGCAAAATAAAAGACTAAATAAGTAAAAAATGAGCAAGAAGAATAAAAACATTTGGTATCTGTTCCTACTCTCCCCTATTTTCTTTTATAAGTTCACCAATAATGAATACCTATCTCCAAGTGTTTAACAGTCACCAATGACATCCGGACTAACTGGCTTGCCGTGTGGCTGCTAATTAGCTGTCTGACACAAGACAGACAAAGAACCTGTCTATCTACCTGATAATGATATTCAAAACAACAAATGAGTGAAGAAAGCAGAGACCATAAAATTTAGTGCAGAGTCATTTTATCTTCCATGCCACTGCTGTTGTCTGCACACTCGCCAATTTGCTCTTTTTCCTTGACCTGATTGAGTCCTAGCAAAGGCCAACATGTAACTGAACAAAGATATTCTGAATTACTAGAAAATGGTAACTAACTTAACAGTCACATTGACTCTAACCTACTGATCAACTGAATGCCTGATTAAGATTTGCCTGAACTATGCACCTAAGAAAGTTTAAAGCAATAACTGACTGGTGGTGTTCTATGAAGTGAAGAGTCCTGGGTGATACTCACTCATTACAAAGTAATCAGCTCCTTTACCAATCTCTGTGCGGGCCTCCTCCACTGCATGTTTCATGGCAAACAGACTTGCACAGGACATGCACAAAGGTGGCTCTCCCACAGCTTTGTGGATTCAATACAATGAATTAGGAATATAAATCAAAATCCATGATTTTAAAACACTGAAAAGCAGTTAGTGACCTTCCTTCAACACATACTTCTACACATTTTCCAAGGATGGAACTAAATGACAGCAATCCAATCTCCATGTGGGCATAGTTGAGTAACATACTGGTGTTGCTATTGAATCAGGGAAAGCACCTTAATAATTATGTTCACCATTGATAATTTGTGCACTGCCACTTTAACAGTATCATGGAAAACAAATGGTTGTAATCACTAATGAAATAATGGAGTTCTCAATAAAATCAAAACATTTGAGCCTCCCCCTTGTTGCTTTGCACCAAACTCACCTTTTGACCTAAGAATTCCAAGTGGATTGGGGGCATTCTTCAGAAGGGTCACTTTGAATTCAATTGGTATGTCCTTGGAACATGGGGGCTTGTATTCCTGGAATTGCCAAGAAATAAAAAATATATCTTTGCACTGTTTTCCTTTGAAGAAACTGAATTTTTTGGGTGGTCATGATTATGTAACTGCACAAAATTTGAAACCTGCAAACTTATGCCACATGGAAAAACACTTTTTCATGACAGTTTACCTGCTAATTATGTATGTGCCAAAATGGTAAGTAACTTCTAAGGGTGCAAAAAATATCATGCTACACACCAATTGGTTTTAACATGATGACATCACTTTTCCATGATGCAGCCTTCTCAGTACAACTTGACCAGATTATAATCTGGTAATTGCAAATGGTTTAATTAGGCAAGAAATTGTTGTTGTAAAAATCAGACTTATTTTTGAAAAGGAGGCGTATTAACTGACAGTTAAGGTCCAATTTCACCAAAATTAAATTGGTATTGAGGGAGAATAGAAACAATTATTTTTATCTCTGAAGGCACCTTGAAAAGAAATTTGACTTTTTAATTAAGATAAGATTGAAATGGCCTATTTTGGTTGCCTAAATATTTCATGTAATCCATCTTAAATTCAGCACTTTCAAGTGTTTGAGACAGTGGCCTTTTTTCTTGAATAACAGAACTCTTTACCCAGGTTCCATTTGTCAGGTTTTGTCCTGTTTTAGTATCATATATGAATTTCTCTGTCAACCACAAACCAAGTCCCATCACAAAAGCACCTTCCACTTGCCCAACATCAATTTCAGGGTTCATGCTTAAAAGCAAAAAAAATATGTAAGGAGATAAATTCACACTTTTAGTTAGAAATCAAGTTTAATGCTACTTTGACATCGTTGAGAGCTCGATCCTTATTTAATCAAGATACTTAGTGACAGACACCTCCCTTGGCTTCACTTAACATCTGAACCTCCAAATTTTATTAATGCTAGTAAAAGTGCAGGTACCATGCTTAACTTGTAGGTATACAAGGAAGAAACTTGGCTGTCAGAAGATGGTACATAAAGTGGTTGCAAGCCAACAAAGCAGGCCTAGGTTTGGTGAAAAAACACTTAGTACGTACTAAATTCCCCTGGGAAGATTGTCTACCATCTACAATTAATCTTAACACATGTGGAGGGAACTTAAGGAGAGATAGAAACTTTTAGAAAGCAAGAAAGAGGCAGGGGGAGAGGATTTAGGAGTCTTTGATGTGTCATGATGTGTCACCTGTCAATTGAAAAGGAAAAAAGCGTACGCCTTTGAATAAACAACAGTACTGGTATGACAAACATGCACGAGTTAAATGACTATGCAATGATCTTCTCGTAAAAAAAAAAACACTTGGAGATCTTACAAAAAGTATTGTTTAAATCTAACAACAATTAATCTTTGAAGATTTACCTCTGTTCCATTTTAAAATGTCACAGAAAGTCAAACTGTAAGTGAATGCAAATGTGTGCTTTGGAGTTGTCAGTTTGCTTGTTTGTTTTCTGTAATGGTGTGTGTAAATCGGTTTTTCTTTCACCGAAAAGCTGCAGTCAATAAGACTCTTTCAAGCTAGACACGAGGGGATTTAATGCGACTTTTATTTATTGAATTCCTTCGGTTACTGTTGTGAAATTTACGGCAAAAATGTCCAAATTCAAGTGACTTGCAAAGAATATATAGGCCAAAGTGCATTTATAGAAGAACTCAAAACTTCCCTCAACGCTTTACAAAAGAACAAATTGTGTTGAAAAATTCAGATATTAATGAGTGAGAGTCACAGTGATGAACGTAATCCTTAACTGCAACTACCTCTCGTTTTAACTTTCAGAGTTACTTTTTGTGAATTAAGGATTATTAAATAACAAATCGTTTCTGGGCCACGTTTCAATCTTTTTAAAAACAAATTTAGTAACACAAAATTTATTTCAAAATCAATTTTTGCTGAAAAACCAAAGTGATTTGAGAGCAAGAGAGAAGAAAGAATTAATATTATTTATCGCCAAAAGGTTGTGACCGAAGTCTTTCGCTCAAAAATTCTGCCTAGCTGGCAAAATGAGATATATTTGTGAAAAATTGCAACAAAGCCTGAGATGCTCTGTAAAATGACTCAAGAAAAATGGATACCACCCGCCGTGAGTGGGCCGAATGGGGAGAATACTGCCTGCTCTCGCAACCAATCAGTTTGCAGGATTTGTAGAAATTTACTGCCGCTCATGAACTGAGAAAAAATGAAAATGTAGTTATTACCTGTAAGTGTGAACATATCTTACCTTTGTCCACAGTCCTCAAGTATGTCTGCACGAATTATCTCTCTTTCTCCTGTCAGAACATCTAGCTCAACTTCCACACATGTAGCCCCATAAATATAGTAATTAAACATCTCTTTACTTTGGGCCTGGTACCTAACATTATTTTCAAAAATCTATTACTCACTTAAATTTTTGGCAAAGATATATTCTAAATGAATTATACGTACCTGTAATTTTGTTGAGTCAAGGGAGTTTATAGTGTTTATAATTGTCATCATCGTTTGACTAGCTGTGGCCATCAAAATGTGATTTTTGATGAGAAAATTTCATAAGACTGGGTATGTGGGGTAAGCTTTTATTTTTGCCAGAAGTGAGCATTAATTTTAGATTCATACTCTTTAATTGAGCACAACAAATATTATGTCAGTCTACAATGTACCATATTTATTGAAGACAAATAAATCAAATTGACATATCACATTAAGAAACTGTTCACATTATACCAGCACTCTTTGCACTAAAAAGCTTTCTTTAGGAATGTATGGCTCATTAATTTGTGCATTTAGTACCTTGCTACTCAGTCAGTAATGCAGCAAAAATCTTCTGGAGTGTATCAAGTTATCACTGTATGACTTACCTGTATTTGGCAGACAAATCACAACCATTGGCAAAGCATTTGGCAATGATTTCAGCCCAAGAGGCTGATGGCATAGTCTTTCTCACAGGATCAATCACTTTGTTGAGGATGTCACAGCAGCCAAGAACAGTCTATAAGAAAAAAAATATACAGATGACTAGGATAAAAAAGACAATAAAAAATACCAAACAAATTAGAAGCAATAAATGAGGCAATTATTACTGTTATAATTATTTTTTTTTAGCTAACATAATTAGAAAATCATAATAAGAATAAAAATAATAAATCATAGTGAGTAGAAATTGTGTGATATAATGATACTGCATGAGGCAAGTGCTCTAGCCCTGGTACCTAAACAATTCCTCTGTGAACTGTTCCCGACAGCTCTCGTACAATGGACAACATCAGATATGCAAACCTCTTTATCTTAAATTCCAAAAGTGAATTATGTGTATATGTACACATGACAGTCTAAGGCAATTTCAAGAGTTATGTCAGAAATATGTCTATTTTCTCTAAACAAGTTTGATCACCTTCAGTTTTGTAAAATCTCTTGAGACTAAGATCACTCTGTTGCTTACCTTACAACACAATTCACTTGTAATACTTCCACCTGTTGCACCACCTACAATGAAGAAAGAAAATACTGATGGTTATAGACACATGCTGGTTCGTGTACACATTTTAAACCAATAAAAAACAAAACAAGACAGGATGGAAAAAAAACCTTACTTCCTTTAATTTAAACATTGGCATGTTTTTCTCTTTATAAATTTTTATATAAATTTTGAGAGGGGGCATAAGAGAAACTCGGAATTCTGAATGCTGAGAATTTCAAACTGAAATAAGTAAAAATTCTATGATGAAAAAAGAAAATCACTTCTAATTCTACAAAATGGAGATGAATTTATACTAAGAAAGACACTGATGAAACAACCATTATCCCTGTATGTATATCATCAAATGAAAATGTAATACATGCTGGTAACTTACTGTTTGGGTTGCTAAATGCTGATGTGGGTTTGATTGCAATTTTATCCAGAGGACATTTCAGCTGGTATGCTGCAACTTGTGCTACCTGAAGGAGCAAGGATAAAATGCAGTTAGGATAAGCATCTTGTAAGCACTACTACATACTACACTAACATGCCAGGGAATTCCACCGGCATAACTGGCAAATATATCGGGGAGCAGGGATGGCGTAGTGGTGAGAGCACTTGCCTCCCACCACTGTGGCATGGGTTCGATTCCTGAACCTGGCGTCACATGTGGGTTGAGTTTATTGTTGGTTCTCGTCCCTGCTCTGAGGGTTTTTCTCCAGGTCTTCCGGTTTTCCTCCCTCTGTAAAAACCAACATTCCAAATTCCAATTTGATCTGGAAGAGTGGACAAGAAGAGCCACCCAGTGGAATGTCCATTGCTAAATAATTATTATTGTTATTATTATTATTATTATTATTATTATTATTATTATTATCATCATTATTACATTGTACACAAGATCATTCTCTATACTGTGGTAAATGTCTTGGAAACTATATTAACCTTGTCTGAGAAAGGTTGACTAGTACTTTAAGAAATTCACCTTAGTGTTAATTCCTTGGCCTACTTCAATTCCTCCATGAGAAATGGCAATTGTGCCATCTGCATGGTATATTGATATCATTGCTGTAAACTGGGCACCAGAGTATCCTAAACCATATTTGAGAGGGACAACACTGATTCCTCGTTTTCGCCAGCGATTTTTCTAAAAGAAAGACATTCACAAGTTTCAGAGTATACAGCAACACAATCACTGTGTATATTCCAGAACTAAAGAGGTTGACTCCTTCAAACAAAGTGGCTAACATGGTCCTGGTGCTTACCTAGGTTCCTTCAGCAAGAGGTGAGACCAGCACCACGAAATCCTTCTGGATTTAGTGTCACTTCACACACACAGATATAACCCTTCAAGCAAAGCGGCTAACATGCTCCTGGAACTTCCCTGGGTTCCTTCGGCAAGAGATGAGACAAGCACCACCCAATCCATCTGGATTGAGTGTCACTTCACACACACAGGTATGCCCCTAGCAATTCCTCAAGTTCCCCACCAAGGTACTTGTACTCATTTCTAAACAGACACAGTCCTGACTAATGGAAAATTTATGAATAGCTTCTAAAGTGAGAGTATTTCACAGCTTTAGCAAACTCAACCATCAACTCTTTTTTCTCTGCTACATGTAAAATGCCAAATAAGTTCAAATAAGTTTAGCTAACTCTCGTCCATCACTCATTTTTATTAAGATATCTCAGTTAAGTCACATAATTTGAAATGCAATCTACAGAATACAAGATCAACCCACACTTCTACTGTATGTACCTTGTTAAAAGTATCAATGGCAGCTTTTCTTGTCTGGAAGTCACTAGAAACAAGAATATCTAATGTGGAGTAAAAGAGAAAAAATGCCACTATCAGCTGCTACAAGAAAGAGTTATAGAACATTTATCCACAGTATCAAGAAAAACCTTAACTAAACTGTGTTTATATAATTAAGCTTCCAATCTCTTCAAAAACATGCAGTGACAATTGCAGACAACTGCTGTTTCAGTCTTTCAATCTCTACCTTACAACTGATCTATATGATCAACTTACCATTCCATACTGTGTCCAACTTGCAATAATTCAATATCTGACCCATCTGAGTTTTCTGTAAAATTAATAAACCACTTGTCATTAAGACAATTATTTTGATTGCATGCATATACATGCAGCTTACCTGAGACATATTTGAGGGCTTAATTTGCACATCCTCAAAAAATCATTACAACCTCTAACATTGAAACTAGCTCATTTAGGGTTGAAATATGATGGTAACACCAATTTCACAAACACGATGGTGAGAGCTAAGCCAAATTAAAAGTGAAGAACATAACTTGCAAAATACCTCTCCATTCTTGTAGAAATTCACTTTTCTCAAAGCTTCAGGTGTCATTTTCAGTTCTTTGGCAACGTGTTCCATAATTGACTCAATGATGAACACTGCTTGTGTGGAAGCTAAAATATATAATTTGAAAAAATATCAAATAGCTGATAATCTGAGAAAACATCTTACAACTGAAATATTATTAACAAATTTTAGTCATAAAATCAGGTTAGAGAAGAGATCCCAGCAAATCTCTCCACAACTGCCAATACAGGAGAAAGGAGGAAAGTGGTTATTGTAACTTTAGGTTACCTTTTTAGGAAGGGAGCATGGATTGCAATGTGGTACAGTACTGTAGTTTTTTATTTCTTTAAAAAAATTCTTTTAAAATGGTTTAAAGAAGGAAAATTAAATCAAAATAATTACGTATGTACATGTACATGTATTAATAAAAAAGAAACCAAAAGTTAAATTTCAGAAGAAATAATTATAACCAGAGAACCACAGGGAGAGAAAGCACAACCATGAAGTAAAGCAGCTGTTAGAAGTTGTTACGCAAGCTTTGGCACATTTGCTTAGCCAAAGCAGACCCTTAGTTTGTAACTTGTTTCAGTTCTTTATCGCAATGAACAGTGGCCATACTTGATTTGTACATACCTGGTGCACGACACCATGTGTTACTAGCTGTGTGAGTGTGAGTGGCATATGGCACGATCTTCCAGTTTTCACAAAAGTATGCTATAATGGATAACATAGTTAGTATCATTTGCAAAACTAACATTCTATTTGAAAGTCTTATACATACAGTCTAAGTAATTTAAAAAAAGGGGAAGATATGCATGCCAAGGAAAGCTAATTATGGATATAAAATCTGGGAACCCCTCAAAGATAAATAAAACTTTGAGCTAAGTTGTGCAAGTCTTATAACTACGTGTCTAGAAGTGCTCACTGTAATTGAATTTGACTGACAAGTTGGACATTTTTTATTTACCAGTCACACTTGAGTTACTGCTCCAGTAACTACTGGCTTGTTTGACTGTTTTAACATGTGACCTCTCAGAAGATAATGGATCATCAGAGATTAATGCAAAGTCCAACAGAACATTTATGAGAATTGGAAAATTCATCACCTAAATGGTATTGTATCAATTGATACATCTACAAATTCCCTCAACTAATTTACATCTACAAATTCCCTCAACTAATTTACATCAACTGACAGTAAGAATTACAACTCAGATATTAAGATTGAGTCTGCCAATTACCATTGTCAACCCATGCCTGTGCAACACTAACGTCAAGGTCATTGGATGTGCTGCCACAGTCCGCATACAAGTCAACATCAATGCCATTCAACTTGCCATCACTTGCCACACCCACCTGTAATCACAGAAAAAATGAAGATATGAATGTTACAAGTTAGGTCAGAGAGGCACCACCTTCAGAATTCGAAGTCATATCCTCTACCACTGAGTCAGTGGAGCTTATAACTTTTAAAGACATAAATTTAATTTGGAACTGCAGTGGCTCAGAATCAAGTAAAGTAATGATCTTGTGATGAGCTGCAATATAAGCACTTGCAGAAAAGTCAAGCCTGGAAAAAATTTAGGCTTCTATGGGATTCGACTTGTGCCCCCCTCCCCACCCCCCCAGATACTACTAATTGGGGGCTACTACCAACTGAGCTACAACGCTACGCCATGTACAAGGTTCATATCTAACGTGCTGCAATTTGAAGACTAAACTCAAAATTTACCATCCCTCTAAATCTATTACCGTTCATACATAAACAACTGGAACACTTTGAGTCTCTGTGAACCTGATGGTAAATTATCAAAACTGTAGAACAACCCAGCTATGTTTTACCAAATGGCTGTAATGTTTTCAACATTTTATCTCCTTGGCTGCTCTGCAACTTTTTTTTCACTTACATGTAGAATAGCAAAATTCATTTCAATCTCTGATGATAGTTATGTGAAAAGAATGTCCAAATAATAGGATAACCATGCTTTTCCTGAAGAGAAACTGCAAGACAGATTGACCTTATCCAAATGACCTGTGATTTATTGGTTTCATATTACTTGGTTCACAAAAATAATATCCAGTTATATTACTACATGTACCTTGTAAGTTGCCTTGAAAGGTTCTCTTACTCCAACCATCTCCATATTTGTGCTAAGATTCAACCTCATTCGAACTGGTCTATTGTTTGAAAAGAAGCTTTCGTAAATAATATCAAGTGGTATTGTTCAAGTTATACTTTATGTGATCCAATTCCTGTATTGAGACAAGGGAACCCACTTAAATTTGCCACATTTCCAATAATTTATATGGGCAACAGAAATTGGATAAAATATATTTTATCTAATTTAACTCATTTGACAAGTATTAGTTTCATTAAATGTAATCTAATTCTAGGAAAGTGGAAAAGCCAAGGAATCAGACATTTTACCTCTTTGTGACATAAGCAGCCAGGGCACATGCTGTAGCAACATGATTGGCTGCAGTGATTCTTGCTCCATATGCACCTCCACACCTCTTAACACTCAAATTAACACTTAGAAATACAACAGAAAAGTATGGTTGTCCTTCCATTACAATCAATACCATCCCCATATATTCCTATCCCTCAGGTATCCTTTACTTCCATATATCCCTATCTCCCACATACAAGTATCTCTATCTCCCATATATACCCATCCCCCATATTGTCTCAGACCTATCCCTCTCTCCTATATATCCCCATTCCCCTTATAAATCCCTATCCCCCATATATCCCTATTCCTTTTGTATCCTATCCACCATGTATCTCTATCCCCTATATATTCCTATCCCCTATATATCCCTATGCCCCATATATCTCTATCCCCCATGTATTTCTATCCCCCATATATTTCTATCCCCCATATATTTCTATCCCCCATGTATTTCTATCCCCGATATATCCCTATCTCTCTTGTATCCCTATCCCCCACATATCCTTATCCCTCATACAATATCCCTCTCCCCTATACATCCCTATCCCCCATATCTCCTTATGCCCCATATATCCCTATCCCCCATATATACCTATTCCCCATACATCCCTATCCCCCATGTATCACTATTCCCCGTGTATTCCTATTCCTCGTGTATCTTTACCTCTCATAGATCCTTATCCCCCATGTATCTCTATCCCCACATATTCCTATCTTCCCTGTATTCCTATCTCCCATGCATCCCCCATCCCCCATCCCCCATCCGTCCCTATCTCTTAGATATCCCTATTCCTCCCAAGTATCTTTACCCCATTCTATTCCTAGTCTTCCAAGTACCCCTCTCTTACACCTACATGTATCACTATCTCCCATGTGTCCTTATCCTTAAATATCTCAACCTCTGAAACATCCTTATCTCCCACACATCCCTAACCCCCAAAAATAATTATGCATCCTGATCGCCTGTATATCCCTACATTTTATTCTTCATAGATTCTTATATTTCCATTCTCTATATTCTACATCTCCCAAATAATTATCTCTGTAATTACAGACATCAAGTGCTAAGTTACCTTTGGACTGGATAATTGAGAGTTTGTGCCACAGCAGCCTGAGTAAGGTCCACCCACTGTGTAGGACAATGGACGGTGATACCATCCTCTTCAGGGACGCATAGTGCAACCTGCCCAATCATATGATGCACAGTGGAAAAAAGGAACAATATCAAAAGATTTGTTTTTCCTATAAAAAAGTACCATGTTGCGGGACAAACAGCAGCAAGATAGTTTTAACATGTAAATTTCACTCTACATATAAGGTAGTAGTTGGAGAGATCTCAGGCTACAAAGTTAATTTCTCCCCAAAGTAAAAACAAAATAATAATTTTGATGAACGATAACTTTACTCAAACAGAGTGATACTGATTGCCTGGGAGGTAACCATGTGGTGTAAAACAAGACTTAAATGACAGACATCAACACAGTCTTCAAACTGAACACTCATCAACTCTAATTTTCCCAAAAAGGGAGCAACATAAGAGCTTAATTTCTTGAAATCCAAATAACTTCAGAGAAATGAGCTGATCCACAGTAACGGTTTTGTGGTTTAGTGATGTTGGACAAAAACGTTTCACCATGTGTGGTAAGCTCATCAAGTGTACATTCAGAAACAATTGACATTCTATTTTCACAGCAATTTTATTAGGCAACCAGCAATAACATGACTTTGTTAAAAGGAGACTAATTCACCAAAGATGGAACTGAAAATTAATATTAAAAAGTAGGAAGCCCATTGAAAAAAGAACAGTACAACCGTACCATGTACTGGTGGCCATCTATTCATCACAAGCCCAATTGCCAAGGAAAACAAAGCAGAAAATAATTAATTAAGCCATCACCTGAGTTTCCATATGAAAGTGGTATTGGTGTCCGGTAGATACTGCCCCTTGTATCACATGTGGTGACCTTTTTATTGCAGCTAATCAAGAAACATAAAGTGCTATTTATAATTGGAGAATACATCATAAATACATTTTCACAATCAATTAACCCCTCTGGCAAAGGAAAAGAGACTAGATATTTGAGCTTGCTCACAGAATGAAGAAAGAGTACCAGTTTACTAGGTGCATCAAAGTAGACTCAAGATCTGTAAAGAAGCCAGATGTCATTCTGATCAACTACCATATCCTAAACAGAGTATATAGGGCTCAACTACCCTTGGTAGAGGTAGTTGGGATGTGTATTCTTTTACCAAGGTGTCCCTCGTCTTCTTACCAGGGTTGCTTCTAGATATGCCACAAGCAAACCCCAGCTCCAGTTTAGGACCATGCATGCAACAACCAAAATCAAAAGCAGTTTTACCCTACGAACGTGACAGAAGTCATGTGATTTTAAGTCCAACTCAGAGCTTCATTTGATACTTACTTTCAGCATCTCCTTTTGTAATTGTCTTCGCCTGTGGATCAAAGAATGACTTAGCAGCCACTGCTTCATCAATAGTGAGTAGAGGAGGTTCTTGATCTTTGTATGTCACTTTAACAGCTTTGGCTGCTTCATCCGCATGTTCCTGAGTATCTGCAGTAGAGATAAACTATTTCCTGAAGTTTTGTTCTAAACAAATCTTGAAGTGTCTAAATATAATTAGTCCAAGCCAGCCTGCCAATCCACAACTTTAACCATGAAAGGGCATTCCCTTTTTGCAAGTCAGAAGAGTTTTTTACAAAAGTGGATAAAATTTGGCTTCAAGTTCTAACTGATGATCAAATTCCCTCTGGGAAGGAAGAAGACAAGAGACATGAGAGAAGACAAAGCCATTCAACCCACTGTAAAAAAGAAAAACAAATAAAAAAACTGTGGAGAAACTTTAAATTGGAAAATCAGCACAAGGAAGAAAAGAGAGAGATTTATAATGCTGTTTACTGAAATATTTCATTTGTTATCTCACTTACGGAGCATCACTACAAAACCTGTTAACAATACTCAAGTTAATGAAGACAGTTGTTTTTTAGGCTTAAGGAAAGGAATGTTAAGAACAGCAACATGGCCATTGTTTTGTTCTGCTGCACTGGAAAAGGATTGTTTAGAACAAGAAAATGGCCACTGTTTTATTCTACCGCATTGAAAAAGGATTGTCCAGAACACCAACATGGCCACCTTACCATTACATTGTCTCTGTCAGTACGCGTGGATGGCCAGGTGATGTCATGTACTTTTGTAAGGCAACTGGAAAACTTGCCACTAATGCCTTCTTGAGAAATTTTTAGGGTGATAAAAGTTTGCCAATCACTATGATATATAGATGCTTACAAAATTTCAGTTAAGCTATAGTTAATTTGCAGATGGCATTCCCAATGACATGACTTTATCCTCTTTTGACGTAAGTAACCTACAATATTATAGCCTCCTAATCCCACATCTCCTTAACAGGACGGGATTTGAACATGGAATATGAACTCAGTGAAGTGTGGACATCCCTCTGATGAGGATAAATGCTTTGTTCTCTCAAGTCACTTTCTGATGAAACTCTTCATTATAATGATCAATTGTTTTCACAAACAGCTATAGTTATAGTTCATAAAACCCCCTCATAATGTCCCTGGCTTAACTTTTTACACCCTAACATCAGTATGCATATTCTCCATACTGTTCTCTATACATTTCCTAAAGTGCTGACAAGAAGAATTTGTTCAATAATCAAGCTATAGAGCTGCTCTTATTGGGGATCATTTCCTTTATTCTCAATACCTTAATGTATGATTCAGGTCAGAGTAATATTTTGAGGTCAAATAATTAAGAGAGTCTCTTAGAAGTCAAGGGTTTAAAGACAAGTCTTCCGGCGACCATGATAGACACATAGACAATAAAAAAGGTGTCAAAAACTCTTCACAAACCAGCAATTATAACTCCCAAAGCTTGACCAGCATACGAAACATATCCCGAACTAAATATCTGCAAGCAAAAAAAAAAAATGGTTTCAATCAGACAATCCAATTATCTTTTTGTTCTGTGACTGATTCCTAAGACAATAATCACATACTGTTGTTTAACACCTACCTCATCAACTGCAAAACCAAAAGATGTTGGCACGAAACTGTTAATACCACCTTTGGGAATATCTGCTGCTGTGATATATTTGACAACTCCACGCATTTTCTGTAGCAACCAAATAACATTATAAATGAGCTTGCACACAATCTATTTTTTAATAGCAGATTATCTGTGAGCCATTTCTTTACCAGTATGATGGATATAGAATTTTATCAACTTAATCCATTCTCTAAATTATTTATCCTTTTTCTTGTAAGTCAACCTTACGTACAATGTATTAGCAAACACACTATACAAGTTATTTTAAGGTTTCCTTCCGTTGCCATTTATTCATCATTCTCTGTAACTAATGACAATGTAATTGTAAAATGCAATACTGCATGATTAATGGAAAATAAAATAGATAAAATGATATGCTTAAGTGGTAATGTACACCTCTTTGTTAGACATAGTGATGGATGCTTATATTGTCAGAATTAAGAAACTGGGCTTGAAATGTGAGTACATGTGACCAGGACTATGAAAAATGTAATTTATAAATATTATATTAGTTATAAATTACAACTTTTGTTTACCAAGGCCTCAGATGCATCATAAGAATCAATCTTGCAGTTTCCCTATAACATTAAACAAGAAAAATGTAAATTGAGTTGTAACAACAGCACATCAAAGTAACAACCTAGGCATGACTTTCCTAGTATCTGCTGAATTTTGCTACCAACCCACTAAAAGGAAATTCATCACCTCCAGAGATTAGCAGTCTTTATAATAAGAAAAGGGACCCTATCAATATCACTGATAGAGTTATCATATTTTTAAAAAATTACATTCTTTGAGTGAGTCCTTCTAGAAACTATTGATTTACCTGTGTGCTCACAACAAAGGCTGCATGAAGTTCACCACCTTGGATGGGTATGTCAGAAATGTATTGAGCTTCACCAGATGTCTAAGAAAAAATGTAAACATTATTGACTATCATGTACATCTTGGTTCATGTATACCTCAAACATTCATAGCACAAAAATTAATGCATATGTGAAATACATCACACACCCTAAATTCCCTTCAAAAAGCTAAATTTTCTACCTTTCAAAAGTAAACAATTTGTGAAAAAGAGAGAGCTAGAGAGAAGGGAGGACAGAAAAAAGGAAGAAGAATAGATGGCACACTAATTAGAGGGCTAGAGAGCAAGCAAGCCAGACAACAGCAAAGAGGGTGAATGGAAGGGCTCAGGAGAGCTGGAAGGGGCTAAACTGGATGATGGTACTTTTAAGAGCTCTGTCTTGGATTAGGCCTGTTGGACACATTTCAATAGACCACACTTGGCACTATTATATACAAACTAAACAACCCACAGCCACAACTCTAACCTGTAGCTTGGCAGCTAGTTTAGTCATTGGTTTTGTCAATGGATATTCCTGCTTTTGTGTGTCATAGTCCTGAGTGCCAGATGATACTGGACGAATAAAAGGCACTGCTGCTGACTTGACCCTAGCCGATGCTTTGTCTCCCAAAACCATCAAATAGAACTAAGACAAACAGCAAAATAACTGTGACTTTTAAATTAGTTCCCATGCAATATTCTACTTGTCAATTCAGTGAGTCACTTTGAAGAATGGCAAACCCATACTCCACAAACACCTTAAACTTTGAAACAAGTTCACCTTTAAACTCCCAGAAGTGATTAACATGTAAGTTCTCCTCTTCAATACCCAGTCATCATCCAACAAATAGGTAATGTGAATATTACAACTTATCAGGTGGAAGTTGTTACCTTGGTCTGACACCAAATTCTCACAACTAATTTACAAGAAAATGTGTAGCAGCCAGATGGGAGAATTAACAATCAGATCAGATCTTGGGGGGAAAAAAGGTTAACAATATTGTCATTTATAATAATTATGTGAAGTTGATGATGCCAAATAAGCTGGTGAAAAGAATTTTGAAAAGCTGAGCTGAAATGTTGAGAGGAAAAAAGTTCCAGATACATCAAAGTTAATACCTTGTAAAACAAGCTAAGAGCCAGCGATTTGCGGTACTCTTTGCTTGCACCCACGGGAGGAGAATCTGGGACAATCTCCTCTCCAAGCATAGTCAAAGCCTCTGAATAAAAAAACAACAAAAAAAAGACAAAGACAAGAATCATTATTTTAACTCAGTCTGCCAGATAAAGAGAAAAAAGAAACAGAGTAGGGAAGCCAGGTAATTATATAAGGGAGCTACTTTTTGATTGGCTTTCAAATGTTCCCATGCTCTCAGGGAAAACAATTTTGATTGATCGATATGTACACAATTTTATAATTCTTCCAGGTGAGCTTATCAGAATTACTTTTAATTACCAAAAAATGTGTTTGGACAAAATTTGAACTTGCATTTGTTTTTGTGAAACAGGACCGTGACCTTTCCTTAGCTTCACTGCCCAACCACTTTCTCACAGAGACTATATCTACAGTGAGCCTGCCATTATTTAGTGAGTTTGAGTGAGCGGTACATTACCTTCAACAAAACCTTCAAGGGTAAAGAAATAAAATGAAAACAAAACCTGTCTTGATTCTAAGTTATAATACTTGACACAAATAATTATATAAACACTAGCTCAGCTCAAAACCTAAGCAATCACCTGCAAGAGTAGTCTGCTCAGTAAGTGTTTTACCAACCAAGAATGATTCTGTTTTGAAAGGGTGCATCTGTGGAATAAAAGTTCAAAAAATGAACTTCCTTAAACTGCTGATAGATCTTACCAAAATGTTTGCAAGAACTTTTAACTGTGGTAAAAAGTCAAATAAATGATCTCTTAAGTACACTTCTCCTTTAACCACAACTCACTGAATGGCTTAGGAATAACACAGTTTGCACTTAATACAGCAGCTTTCATTACTGAATATATTATTCTCAAAATATTTAAAGATACATTTGTATGATGTATTAACTTACTGCATGAGGCTCAATTCCACCATAGACAATCCTGACAGCACTTAAGGTCATGGTACTCTGGTCAACCTTGGCGACAAACCCAGCATTCACATAGGCATGGGCATTCTGAAAGTTAGAATTGCCAATAGTTATAAACTATCATTCACACAGTCATCAACAAGCCTTTATGGAGAGACAGCAAGATACACATGTGTATCACCTGAATGAAAAAATAATTATAACATTGGAGCTGGTGATAAAAGATACACAAAGGAACCAAATCAAAAAATCATGATACTGACAGTTTCTGCAAGTAATTAAGATAGATTTGTTAGTAGCAAATGCAATATTCATACCAGTTACCTGTGATCTTGGCATAACTTTGTAGGTGCAAATGATGCAGTCACTTGTAAATATAGGTAACAAGACTGCCAAGATTACCTGGGGAAGTAAAAAAAATGATTCATTGTACTGCCATTAGAATAAATAGCGCTAAATATAATTTTTCAGGTGTAGTGTAGGAAGAGGATACCTGTGTATACAGGCTTCACTAACTTTTCAACTTAATAACCAAGTGGCTATTGATAACTTACATGTAGATGCTACAACAATTTCAGTTTGTTTACTAGCCAAACTGGCCATGCGGTGGAAATCGAAACCACTTGCCAAAACTTAATTTCTTCTAGTCTGTGGCAAGTAGCTAGCATTAGTGCCAAGCTCTATGTATATCCTCTGACTATATGGGAGAGTCATTAACTCTGGTCTCACTAAAAATGTTAAGTTATGTGAGCAAATAAAATCAAAAACAAATCAAAATTGTCATCACTCTGTTCCTTTTGGAAGCTTAGAAAAATATCACATAAAAACAAATAAACCATGCCCACAATCTAGCTTGCACTTTAAATTAAGGAAATTTCAAACAGGTATCCATTAGAGCTCCTTGCCTCCCTGCTTCCCCAATGAAAGGTGTGGGGCACATACACGTACAAGTATACAAAGGGGTCAACAGCTGGCCTCATTAAATTTGCTAGTAATATAGTTGTACTATAAAGAAGTTCAATCCAAGCTGTCTTGACGTCTGACTGATCTTCTAAAGGTCTCCTAAAATTCCAGGAATTAATTTTATTCAGCGACCTGTATGAAACAGTGAAAAGTATATGACAAGTCTAGGACATAGTGGGGTTTATTGAAAGCAAAAACAAGTTTTTTACAAGTGTTAGTACCTTGCCAGTCATATCCAATGAAAGAAACTGCATAAGTGAGTACTGAGTTTCACTTGCTGTTGAGCTGTCAGCTGTAAAATTTGATATCATTTTGTAACAAATCAAAGCAAATGAAAAAAAAACTAATAATGACAAAAATTTAAATCAAGGTCCACAATTTTCTTAAAAATAAAGTAATTTATTTCAACTCAAATGCAGAAACTTTGCAAAAATTTAACAATTTCCAGGAAGATTCTTATCCCTTTCATTATAAAGTTTTTAATCTGCAGTGATCATGAAAAAATAATTTGGGATAAAAATTAGAGCAAGATTATAACCCTGGTTCACCATCATAACTGACAATTTTTGATACTGATTTTAATAAGAAACAATCATTCAGTAGCCGGCAAGTTTTCTGCAGTTTTCCAAGACAGTCAATCATGGCTGGATTTCAAAAACCTTCACTCTCATGGCCCTCTCGGCGTAAGTTCTAGGACTCCCTAAATAATTCATTAATCTAACCCATTTTTGTAGTTGTTATTTTTGTTGTTTTTATTTGATACTAGACATGTCAGTTCTATAACCTTAGGAGGTGTCAACAATTTTTTGTAACAGATCAATGATCAAAAAAAGCACTAGGAGGGGAGGGGGGGGGAGAGAGAGGGAGCATTAGCCCTTACCAATAATTAGCCTGGCACCAGCAGCCTCAAGGATGGTGAAAATATCAGAAGGGAAATCAGGATGATCATGAGTTAGCATCAGATTTCCAGCAATACTAGCAACCTACATGTATGAAGAGAATTTTCAAATTATACCTTAATTATGATAATTAACATACAATGGAGAATTATTAACAACAGTTTAAGGTTTAAAGATTAAAAGAAATTCTACACCAGTCCTGCAAGATCAACTACGTAATTTTTGCTGTGTGGTCCACTGGTTGCAAATGGAAACAGCAATGGAGGGGGAGAAGATGACAAAATGACACCTCACAAGCCGTTAGGTATACTGATCACTGAGTGGGTGACTGACAGTTTTGGGGATATGTGACATCCTTTTTAGGTACTGATATACTAACATGGAGGTAACATCAAATGACAGATAAAAAATCAAATATAACTTACATTCCGAACAGGAACATTGGCCACCTACACACAATCAACAAAGAGAAAGAGGAAAATAATGTTCATAAATTATTCATTTAATGGATCTCTTTCTTTTTAACTGCATCTTAATACTGTACTGGTGAACAACTGGACTGTCTTTTGCCACTTTTTGCATCTCCATTGCCGACATTGTCCAAGAATCATAAACTTAGTATGAATTCAATTTTTTTCATGTGCAGGAATAAAGTTAGCACTCCTGAGGTGGGCCTTATCTTGCCCACTCGGGTATAGCCAATTGGAACACGGGATTCACTTCTTATTGCCCATGGGCAATGATTATTTTTTTTATCTTTTTAGCCTTGTTCTTGCTGTAACTTTTAAAATTAGTAATTAGGATCGGAGATACTAGCTTGTAAGCTACACTGAAATCCAAGGATAAATAAAGCTTATGTATGTATGTATGTATGTATGTATGGGCACTGCCAGCAATATAATAATAAATTACATTAAAGTGGATCTGTAGGTATGTACATGTATGAGGGAGGATGCCCATCAAGGCCAAACCCCCCTAAACTTTGTAATAGACTCTTTGTCACCCCTTGAACTTGACATCCTTATTTCAAAACTGTGAGGAACGCTCTTTTACATTTCAAGAAACCGCAGTACATATGTATGATTTTCATCTATTCAAAATTCATCGGTCAGAATGTCTGTTAGTGTCAGTAATAATTTACCTTGCGCACATGATCAGCAAGCACTTTGTAACCAGACATCACCTTAGCTTGGTTATCCAGCACACTAATAAGAGTGTTCAGGGTAACAGCAGCACCAATGACAAGATCACCATTGGGTACCTGGGGTGACTGTGATGACAAAGAGAAACACAAGAGGTTTTCATTCGTTATGTCTTTTCAACTTCAAGTTAAGAAGCTGCTCATTAATTAACATCTTAGAGTTGGCTTGCGGGGCAGAATGGTAAATTGCAGTTAATGATGCATCCTTTTACCCCATTACTACCCTAACATCAGTATGCATATTCACCTTTACTGTTTTCTATACATTTCCAAAGGTGGTGACAAGGAGAATTTATTTGTTTAACAGTAAAGCTTTTCTTAACTTGGTGATCATTTCCTTTATTCTTGTCAACTTAATGAGTGATTTGGAGTGATATTGCAAAGAGAAATCAGATCTTAATCATCAAGGGTTGAGGTTATCACAACATTGATCACTTCCTATCATTCAGCAGCAGCAGCAGCTACCCTGTTGGCAATGATGAAAGAAATGCGCACCTTGGAAGGGCTCAACAAGATCATAATTATTAAAATCATTAATGTACCTCAGTCACACTTGGTATGGTGTGGAGCTTCTCAATTTTCTTTAGGTCAATCATCACATCAAAAGGACCATCATTCTTGTAAATACCTGCAAATAACAAAATACAATTTGGTTTAACTAAATTTTTTCTTAATCAGTTCCATTTTCTATAACCTATTATGTATCGTACATAACCAACATTCTTTTCTTTCTCAAACCACTTGTTCAAAAATGAAAATGTTTAGTTTTGAGGCTGCAACTTTTAAATTTTAAAATTAAAAACAAACAAACAAAACAATTTTTGCGCATAAGAAAATTAAGTGGTTACTTGAAAAATAATGTAGATTAAGACTATTTTTACAGCTATTAATTAAAGAAAATTGTATGCAAGTCTACTGGTCAGGAAAAGGATTTTGTAGATTTTGTAAACACTCCACACTCAGTGACTCGACAGCAAATGACTGTGTACCTTTCCCAGTGTTTCCAGCCACAAGCCTGATCTTATCGTTTTTGTGTTTTGCCATAAGTGTGTACAGATCACCCAGTGTTGTTGGAGCATACCAAAGTACACCATTATCTTCATAAACAGGTGCTGTGAGACACTTCTTTGTACAATTAAGACCTCCATGGCCACACACACCTGGACATTTGGTTATTTCCTGGTAAGAACAGTCAATATGACACAGTAACATCATTCACTGTGGAACATTCAGCTAAGATAACAATTGATTTACTATTTGTGAGGACACCTGACATTCAGAAGTTAATAAAAGTACTTCTAGAGTGAATTAAGCATAATCTGCAATCATTGTTTGGGCTTTAATTCTCAGTGTACAACATGCTTTCTTCCCCATCATGGAGTAGTGGATCAATTTGTGATGACCCAAAATAACCCCTTGAAAACAGACTAACTAAATATAATTATGTCCAGAAAAGACCCAAACCCTTAAAAATCTTTAAAGGACATCTTGGTTATTATAAATTAAATATTTCAAAACAGACCACTGACATAATCTTGGAAAAATAACCCCTTACCCTACATTCTGTGAAGAACAATCTCACCCCTGTTGGGATGCACCGAAAAAGACGGTGGGTAAATTAAATATGATTGAAATGAACTCTTGCTCTTACCTCGATGTCTACTGGATTTTCAGACTTTGCAAATGTTTTCATTGCATCCAGAATTGGTCTGTAGCCTAAATAGAACAATGAACATTAAAATGTCATGTATAAGGAACTGTGCATGGACCTCATTCTATCAGAAAAATCTGTAGTCAACGTCTGAATCAGTAGTTTGTTTCACAGGACACTGCTTCTCCACTGACCCCTCCTTCTCTGAATTTAGAGATCTATTTTGTTCTTAATGGGCTTGTTGTCCCTTTACATTCTAATATTTATCAGCATACAGATTCTCCCCACTGTTCTCTGTATGTATCCTGTGCTACTGACAAGGAGAATTTCTTTTAACAATCAATTTAAAGTGCTCTTTTGGATATTGATCATTTCCTCTATTTCTCCTGACCTTAATGCTTGATTCTGCGGTGATATTGTAAGGAGAAATTAGCTGCTGGTGACTTTCAGAGGTTAAAGGGTTAACATTCAAGTAATTCATACTAGACACTTTTTATAGAACATGATTTCAATTTTTAACAACTGAAGTCCTCTTATGTCTCCTCGTCATGCCAAACTGTTTCTTAATGCTAAATTTAACCAAATGTTTTTATACATGTATTTGTATATTAGCTTCTGGACGCCATACAGCAAGCACCATCCCTTGTGACATTTAAATCCAACCTGAAGACTCATTTATTTGATCAGGTCTTTAATTAGTCATTAGGTTTTTGCTTAATACTTTTAGTAAGTTGTTTATTAGTCATCTTTATCTTATTTTTTATCTATATAACCCTACAGCACTCTGAACTCTAGCTTGGGTGCTATAAAAGTCTTAATTGTATTATCATTATTATTATTATTATTATTATTATTATTATTATTATTATTATTATTAGACACACAAAAGTAGTCTACCTGTGCAGCGACAGATATTTCCATCAAAGTTATCTTCAATCTGTTGTTTGGATGGACTGGGATTCTTCTGCAACATACTGACCAAAGCAGGTAACAATGTATAAACACATTTATTATACTATTCGATAGCTTGCCAACATAAAACATTTGAAATATTTAAAACTTCTGTGGAAAGTATAATAGGTATCAACAAACCTCATGCACTGAATTTGAGACAAGCACAGGCCACCAACAGAATGATATGCATGTACACACAATATAATCCAGTGTACAATTATTATAACTTAAACTTGACTTGAGCCTTGATACTCTAGGTTGTCAAGAATCTAGCATCAAGGATTGAGAATCAAGAATCAAGGATCAAGTTTCAAGGGGCTATCAACTTACTTTTGAGTGTGCAATACCAACCTGTACATGTTCATAACAAATCCCGGTGAACAGTAACCACACTGGCTGCCATTATGTTCTGCTAATCTCTCCTGGATGGGATTGAATCCATCAAAACGACTGCAAACAAACAATAGTGGAGCAATTTATTATTATTTCAATTTACCTCTTATGCCCTTGTTAAGTTAACCATTAGCCCTCTTCCCCCAAAACAATGTCGTATCATGATTCCATCAATCAATCAATCAATCAATCAATCAAAGTTTATTGTCTAACGTGAGGCATGGTTGCCCAATTGCCCAAGCCAGAGGCTCATATAATTAAAGGTATATTATTAGAAGTACTTAAAACTTTATAGGTAAAAATATATAAGTTTAGAGTATAAGTGATAATTGTAAAATTATAGGTGATTAATATTGATAGTTAAAAGAGTCTAAACATTATGTTTGGTGAAAGATATTGCAGTAGATGAATATGAATAAGAATGACAACGTATGTGTATGTACAATAAAAGTCAACTACATGTATTACATTTACAGATTGGTCCTAGAGTGCTAAAATCGAAATTCTTAAGTTTACTACAGAAATCGCTAAGCTTAGATGCTGTTTTAATTTCTCTAGGTAAACTGTTCCAAAGGTGACTAGCTTTATATGTAAAGGAATTATGATACGATCTATTATTATACCCTAGTTGCACTAGATTAACACCTTTATTCCTTAAACTATATCGAGATTCCCGCAATTTAAAAAAGTTTTTAATATAATTATTCTGGACCATTCCATTTCATACATTTAAAAAGTAAAACCAAGGAAATATAAAATCGCCTATGTTCTAGAGTTTTCATGTCGCTTTTAGTTAAGATTGTATAATTGTAATCAACATTATTGCTGAGATTAAGCAAAGTTTTGAGTGCGTACTTATTGACTGACTCAAGTTTAGAGCTCATGTACTTTTAGAGTGTGACAGGAATAGGACTCTTATTTTTCACACAAATAGAACTCTTCTAACATGTTGTGTCAACTACTTTTGACACTGATTATAGTTACAGTTAATTGAGTAACTAATTAAGTTCACATGTTGCTATTTCAATATAACTCACTTCCCAATTCCTTCAATTGTTGTAACTTTGCCACCGTTAACACCACATAAAGGAAAGAGACACTGAAATAAAAATAAAAAATGGTATTTATGATCATGAAACCAATATTAATTCAACCAGGTGACCTTCTAATGAAACATCTTTAGTTGAGATTTAATGAGAATATGTTAATTTGTTTGACTAATGAAGACACTGAGATAACTGTACGTAGTAAAACCTACTGGATAGATAGAAGCGATAGAGTTATCAGATTTTGGATGCTTGTTTAATTTTTTCTTCATTTTCATAAATCAATCACCAGTAAGTGATATCTCAACTATGACCCCTTCTAAGGTACAGTTAACTGTAATTTAAGTGTGTAGCAGATTTTTGACAACCAAATGGCAAAAGGAAAGGTTATAATCTTACAGAGTTGACTGCCACAGCGACATCTTTCCCAACACTCAGGTCACGTCTTGTTACTGACACTACACAACAACCACAGCCTGCTTCGCGACACATCACCTTTGTTCCTAATGAAACATTCAGAGGAAACAAAACTCATCATACCTTAAATTGTATCTCTCAATTTAACAGGCCATATTTCACTTTATTACACGACTCAGGCAGTCAGAAGGCCAATAACTAAAATCAACCAATCAAAATGCTCTATTGCCGGTCAATATTCTCTCAGTATTAGACCGGGCACTGTCCCGAATGGTCCCAAATAATACTGCACTTGTGTCCCTTTGAACTTCAGTCATATAATAAATCTCTTATTAACCAAGCTTGCTCGGGACTGTACTGGAAGAATATCGGTCCTCTGTCTTTTTTGTATGGACTGAGCGCAG